GGTCTGCCTGTCCCTGCCTCCCAGAGCTAGGTTTTCAGACCCATATAGCCAGTCTGGCATTTTACATAGGTGCTGGGAATTTGAGTTCAGGTTCGTATGCTTACAGAACAAACACAATTACCCGGTGAGGCATCTCCTCGGTCCCCCAAACTACAAATTCTAATGAGTATTTGAAGCTGGATGGTGAGCACCTTTTGCCCCAGGCATCCCAGTTGTCCACCTGAGGAGGTGAATAGGATTCCTAAGCGTGAATAAGGGTAGAGCCTGAAAAATGATTACATCAATTGGCATCCTCTAGCCCACCCAATAGGAGAACAGTGGGGCTAAGTGAGATAGGGGGAGGTAGATTTTATAGAGCATTGATAAAGTTGTAACCTCGAGTTGGGAGAGACATAAGTTGAGGACCCTTAGGCATTAGACAGAGACGCATGTTATTGGAGGGTAGGTAGTGAAGACAGTAGTATATCCTCAGAGATCCTTTAGAAAAACATTGTCCTGTCAGTTATCAAGGAATCATTGATATGGATAAGGTGCCCTCTATACCAGGACAAGATCTGTGTCTTCTGTTATCAAGGAAACACTGACATGAAGGAGGTGCCTTCTGTGCCAGGACACCTTGCTGTAAAGGGAGCAAGATCCTTTCTCACTTTCCCAGTTGTACAGAGCTGTCAGGAGTCTCTGCAGCCTCCTCTCGCTAAGGAAAGGCTGCCAGTTCCATGGTGTCAGTGGTAGCTAGTTGGTCAGCTCCCGGGGCCACGGTGTCTCTCTGGCTTACAGACGACGACCACTGGATCATCGATACGGACTACGACACCTTCGCTCTGCAGTACTCCTGCCGCCTGCAGAATCTGGATGGCACCTGTGCAGACAGCTACTCCTTTGTGTTTTCTCGTGACCCCAATGGCCTGACCCCAGAGACACGGAGGCTGGTGAGGCAGCGGCAGGAGGAGCTGTGCCTCGAGAGGCAGTACAGGTGGATCGAGCACAATGGTGAGCAACTCTTCCTGGGGAGCTTGGTAGGGCTGGGCCAATAAGAGGGTGCAACATCTATCTGTGCAAGTAGGTTGTCTGAGGAGCCACCTTTGGGCCAAGTCTTGGCTCTTCTTGATTAAACTTTTCCTAGGGCTTTGCCATCAGCCACACGGAGAAGGGACCAAAGTTTCTTTTCCCCCAAACCCTGGCACTTTCAATATCCAAAGCTGCAGGCCCACTCTCTTCTTCTATTTTGCTCCCCACATTTTGCTTCTGATACCACAACTCCGAGAAACCATTCTGCAGGAATTAGAGTTTAGTGGAGAAGTGTCCCTAGTGAAGAACTGGATGGGACATGCAGCCATTTTATGTAAAACCGTAAACAAAGGCATAATTGTAGCAAGGTCTCTAAAGACTGGTGCCCGAGATGGTCTTTATTCTTCACAAAACCAAGCACAACTCAATTAGCTCACGGGGTCTCCATTTGGGTTTCCTAGGGAGAGTCTCCAGGATAATCGTGGGATACTTTAATCGTGGGGTAGCTATTGCCCTTAACTGATCCTAACTTAAAACTCAGAAACATAGTGGGGAAGTGGGCTGTCTATTTTGAATTGACTTGCATTCACTTGTACGGGCAATTGAGCCTCAAAATTCCAAAAAGGGTCATGCTGAAGTGTAGAAAAGAACATTTTTTTAACGTATCTCAGTCATCCAATATACCAACAATGTGAGCTCAGACATGTGTAGATATGGGTGAAGTTGGGCGGGGATGGGGAGGAGGCTGAAAGTGGGACTAGTGAAGGATTGTGTTACCCCTAGGCACCACAGAGCCAGTCACCTAAGTCACCCCAGTTAACCCTTGGAGACATTTTATGGCTATACATACTCTACCAGTGAGAAAGATGGAGACGAAGGAAAGTTACATACATTGTCCACAATCTCCAATAGATAGCTAAGTTGAAGTAAATTCAGATGTTTGTCACTATGGAGTTCCTTGTGGTACCTCCTGATGACAGGGTAGGGCAGGGACACCATGTCGCCTACGAAGCTACAGCAGTGAAGCTGAGGTCAGGTTGGTGTGGCCCTCACGTTTCAAGGTAAAAGGATGGGCTTCAAGGTATTTGGAGATGCAGTGGGTGGAATCAATCGTGGAATAAATGGAAAGTGGTTCATGCTACAGGTCCTGTACCCTCAGCCCTGCTGCTCCCTGGAGAATTAGAGTTCGAGCCTAAACTGTCAGGGAACTTGTGAAGTACAGCCACACAGAAGCGTATGAATGGCTGCCTGCTCTACGGCTGCCTGGGTGTTCATTTATCTACATAAGTGCTGATCCACCTCTCTGTCACTGTGGTTTTATTTTCTGTATTTCAGGTTACTGTCAAAGCACACCCTCAAGAAACAGTTTGTAGCAACGTCAAGGATGTGAAGTTTGAAAACTTCTGATTAACTCTCATCCAGTCTTCATCTCTATTTATCTTAGAAGTTTAGTTTCCCCACATCCCTACCTTCTCTAGGTGGACATTAAACCACCGTCCAAATACACGGGACGGACTGAATCTGTTCACACAAATGTATATCTCACTGAAGTCCCCTGAGAGACATTTGAAGCTTGGGATTCCAAACTTGATTTATTAAACGTATAGTCACCATCTTCCTATGAGTTGAAGACTTATTTGTAGTTGGGTTGCACTTTTAGATGCCAGGAAGACCTGATCTCCACATTAAAGACTAGCGTTTAACTTTCTAAGAAAGGGTTTTAAGACATAAGAAGGTCTTAAAAATGGCCTACCAAGGCACTGACAGCCAAAAGAGGACGTGAGTGACCACACCATCAAACCTACAGCTGTCAGCCCAGACCCCATGAGGTGAGCAGGAGAGAAGACTCACCTCTGGAAAGAGTTGAGAGGCTGAGAAACATGGGTCAGAAGGAACTCAAGGACGCCACTCTGCTCTTCATTGCTTCTTGCATGACTCACGTAGTATTTCAGATGGGGGCAGACCACTGGAGAGCAGGCTTTAGGGATGGGCCTCTGGAAGCCAGCATCCCTTTGCAAGAGTGTGCAGGAAATAACAAGGTGGGCGAAGGAAGCAGGCAGGAACACACCATCAGTAGTAATTGTCTCAGTTCCCGGGGGTTCCCAGGAGCCTGTTTTTCAGCAAGGCCATGGTACCAGAGGATCTTAGTTTGAAATCTAATCCAGTTTGGAGCTATGAGATTTGGGGCTGGTTTTGTGGCTTCTCTCATTTAACTTGGGAAGCAATTGCTCCCTGCCTGACAGGATAGACAGAGTCAATACAATGTCTGTGAGCATGCAAAGGCGCTCAGACAGGAGGACATCTGTGAAGTGAACTAGAGTTGCTTTGCCGATGTTTTTAAGGACAACGAGATGCTCACACCAAATGCCTGTGCACCTTGTTGTCTAGCAAAGGCAGAGGAAACAGCCGTGCATGAGAAAACTCAGCTTTCCACTCTCAGAACAAGCTGACCATCTGGCTCCTCAGCTCCAGCCTGACACCACAGCCATTAGATATTCACACAGTCCTTCAAAACAGCATCCATGTATCAAATCCATTAACCACATAGGAACAAAGGCCCTTGCTATTTTGTAGTTACCTTCATGGTCACCATAAATGTTACCTCAGACCTACACATTGGCATATCCTGGGGCTCAGTGGTTGACTGTGGTTTCTTTCCTTTCTTCATCTTCTCTCAGACTGTCTCATAAAACCGTGAGTTCCTAAACACCATCTGGATTCCCCAACACCATTGTATCGTCAGTCCCAATTCCCTGTTTCTTCATCCACCTGACTCACTGGGATTTCAAGAATACGCTCTAATGAAACCCCATTCACTTCCCAGGTTTCCTTAGTTGTGTGGCCTGCTCGACTACCTAACCAGTGCCAGGCTTAAAGTCCAGGAGACACCCTATTTATGTAAACTGTCTCATGCTCCCAAGCACAGCCCAAGACGATTGCACATAACCCTTCACTGATGCCACGAACCTGCACCTTCACGGTCCCGTCAGCTTTCCTCCTTCCAGCAGCTACACACCTGGTCTCCATTTTTTACTCTTGCTCCTTCAACCCTGTGCCTGAGGAAAAGCATTCATTCTTTAGACCTCTCATAGGAAACCTCAGGCTTGCCCACTGAACACTGGGAATTTTTATGCTGGCCTTTCTGACCTAGCCCTGAAACTTTACTGGCATCCATTGACAGACTCCAGAAGAGCACTCCTCTTTCCAAGCATCAAGTACAAAGAAGGCTCAGTCAACAGTTTGCAGTTCCCGGAGCAGGTGGCTCGCCAGCCTCTCTCTTCCTGCAAAGGTCCTTCCTCTGGATCCACATCACTCTTTCTTAACTTTTGCCTTTCAACCCGACTACTGCTCCTCAGTGTTCCCTAGCCCACACCTACCCATATAAACAACCACCATCCCACAGCACCCCGACCTACTTTCCCCAGTGTGCTTGGTCACGGTAGGGTGCTACACTATTCATTGACTTCTGTTTAGCATGTGTGGTCCCCTGCCTCCTTGAATTGGGCTCCCTGAGAACAAAGCCAGGGCTATTTGCTTTACCACTGGATTCCTAGTACCCAAACCACTGCAACAGCCAGGGCAGGTGTTTCAAAGGGTTGATGGGTGGGGTGACGAAGCATTCACTCTTGATCTCCCTCTCCACCGTTACTCCATCCTCCCCTCTTTGAGTCTATGGTGCTTTTTCTACTAAAGTGGTCAAGTGGTTTGTAGTATTTTTCTTTTTCTTTTTTTAATGTACTGGGGATTGAACCTAGGGCCACACTACCATTGAGCCTTGTCCCCAACCCATTTTTAATACATGGGGGGAAAAAGTCATTTTTAATTGTTCCTTGGAGATTCCTTAAGCAGTCTTGATGGGAATGAATTAATTATCTCAAGGCTTTATGAGCCCAAGGTGGAGACTCAGGGTGGCCATGACACCTTTTCAGAGAAATCCGAGCCCTGAATCAACTCCAAGGTTTGTTTCAACAATCACAAGGTACAGCTTTATATGTAGGAACAGTTATAAATAAAAATTTATTAACTCAATCATATTACAAACACACTAAAAAAGTTCACAAAAGGAACCCATAGAAAGTTCTTTTAAGGAAAAATAGTTTTATACTGAGCGATCATTCCTTAATTTGCTGGCCCTGTAGATGCATGCTGTTGGAAGTTGGATATTCTTAAAGCAGAGTGCACTGGTGGGCTTTCCCTGAAGTTAACTCCCTTTACATGCACACCGTGGTTACCTGGCACCAGCAGCTAGTTAGCTGGAAATAACAGACAAGTCATTTCGCCTGACAGACGTGTCCGTAAAAATGGCTCCTTTCTCTGGGAAAAAGAAGCAGCAAAAAATCTTCCTCCATTCGTTCCTGAACAGCGACATGTTGTACATAATGGGGTTTAGGGCGGAGTTGGCAAACGTGAAGGCCATCACCCAGAAGAAAAGGGACGGCCAGATGACCAGGTCCTGTCGGAAGTTCTGGATCAAGATGAGGAGGATGGTGATGATGATGGGACTCCACATGACGAAGAAGGAAACCATGAGCAGGAAGAGTGTTCGGAAGAGCCGGTAGTCCTGCTGGGACACTCGGATCTGGTGGCTCTCGGAGTACGCCAAGCTCAGCGTAAGCCTCTTCCTCGATGCTTTCGTGATCTGCATGAAATGCAAAGAACCGGAACTACCTTGAGGCACTGGTGACACAAACCTTTGATCCCAGCACTCTGGAAACAGAGGCAGGTGGATCTCTGTGAGTGCAAGGCCAGCCTGGTTTACATAGAGGTCCAGGACACCCGGACTCCTCCGCCCCCCTCCCCCCCCCCCCGCCGCCTGTTAAAAAAAAAAAAAAAAAAAAAAAAAAAGGAGCAACTGGTCACTATCTATGTCAAGGGTCTCCTGTTGGTTGGGTTGGTTTTGTGGTACTGAGAATTGAAGCCTGGTGGATAGGGGTGAGACTAGAGATAGTGGGTTGCAGTCTGACTGGACGCTTCTAACCTGGAATGTGAAGGACATTATGTCTATGGGCCTGATGTACCAGTCTGTGACCTTTGTCCTGAGGAAGAGAGCCAATGGGATGTGTCCTGGCCTTGTCAGTGACCCTTACTAACTTCCACTGCTGCTGGGGCTGGTCCAGGTTCTGTCTCTCGGGCCAATTCTGGACGGGGACGGGGACGGGGATGGGAGATGAGGACTTTTCTCCCTAGATCTTTGCATCTGGAGAGAGGAAGTAATTTTAAAGTCATTAGCATCATTCACAATTTGGGCAACTTTAACTCATCAAAAAAAATGGCTTAAAATGTCCTCCTTACAATTCTTTTTAGTGCTCTAATTAAAGAATGGATGCTTAACTGTTGCATGATTGCATGATTGCCTCTCACTGTGTGGGGCATTTAGAGCCACCTGTTTGTGAGAGAGACAAGGACAGCAGGTGCCCAGTGAACAGTGTCAAAGCTCTTGACAACCAGAACACCAGGATGTGAGCAGTCGGGGCTGTTGCATTTCCCCCTTGGCTCCTTGCCACTCGCTAGACATTTATTTTATCAGTTGTCACCTTTAATCTTCTCTCTATCCTCTGTGTGTTCGCACCACTGCAGTTCTTGCAAATTGACTCTCAGGTTACTGGCTGAAAGTCATTTTTTCTGATACTAAATAGTTATAGCCCCCACCTGTGACAATCGTGCTCACTAGGGGTTCCCAGAGTACTCAGCGCCTACCCACCCTGCTGTGCAGGTGGGGGCAGCTATGCAGCTCTGTGGGGCCCAGGCTGTGATAAACAAAGGGACTGACTCAGAGTCAAGCCCACAAGAGAATTCTTTCTAAGGGATACCACTGTTTCATCCCCCATTCCACAGTCCCCACAGTTTGTAGAATCAGGAAGAAAGTCAAGCATTGTAATAAAATGTGGGTTCTTCCTTGCTCCCTGTCCCACATTAGACTGACTACCTGGCTTGTCAGCACCTAGCCAAGATATCAAATGTCTCTGGCTTTGGTGGAATGCCTTGTGTGCTCTTATGAGGTGCCATATAATTCTCACCCTCAAAAATAAGCTCCTAGGGGATGTCCTGGGGTTCTCCTTCTTTAGGAGCCCCACACAACAGTGCCATGTGCTTCACCCTGGCATAGTGGCAATGGCTGAGGGGAATAATGTCTTGGGGGACAATGTCTTGGGGGAACAGTGGCTGGTGGGAGCAGTGTTCATGAGAATATGCCCCCGTGACCACTGGGAACTTGGTAAAACACAAAAAATCTATGAACAAAAGTTCCTATAAAGAACTGCACCTGACACTGACCCTTCTACAAAGCTGATTGACCAGCTAGTTATTGTTGAGAGATTAGTGCGGCAGCTCCAGAGCCCAGTTATAGTTTATTTCTGGCCACTTTTAACTCCCTTAATAGTTATTCCACACCTACTCTGGGTCTGGCCTAGCATTCTTGTGACTGACAGGTGCAGCCACCAGTCAAAAAGCTAAGAATGTCATCGGATATCTCAGGTCTATAGCAGAGGTCTCCTTGCTTGACTGTGGCCCACCTTTTACCTCATGTTCCCAACAATGTATTTGAAAACTGCCCGTTACTATTTTTTTTAAATGCTTCATAAAAAAGTTATCATTTTGGAACATAGAATTTGATGTAGTCTGAATCTCCATATTCCTGGGCCATGGCTACTCAGAATAAATTATCTCTTATCCTTTTTAGGCTGAAAGCTGTGTTTTTTTGCACATCCAATAGGGCCCACTTTGAGACACCTGGATTCGGTGAGGGGACCCGGGGATCCGCACGTCTCTTGAACTGTGTAGATGATTTTTGCTCATAAGAGTTTAAGAACTGCTAATCCCAGACAGCTGCTTGGTTTGGAGTTTTCTCCCTAGGCCTTTAAAAATGTCCAATTTTAAAGCAGACCTTTTGTGACTCACTGTAGCTGCATAAGCTTCTGCCAGCCAGGAGGAAACCCTATTCCCACCCAACACCCCCTTGCCATGCCAGGCCACACCAGTTGGATGCTGGCACTGAAGAGGATGCTCACTGACAGAAGTTGGAGCCCTAGGGGTTGAACCTCGTTTGTGGAGCTGATTGGCTAATCAGTACTGTCCTGATTAGAATCTTCAGACAAGAGGCCCCACCTTCCCAGAGGTCTTCCCTCAAAGAGACCCAACTGTAGGAGGAGAGATAGGACTAGAGAGAGTAACATCAAGATAAATGTGTGGAAAAAAAACCAGGACTGGCTGTTTGGTTTTGGACCTCAGGACAAGCAACTGAGGTACATATTTTACATACCAAGGCAGACCTGGCCTCCAGGTTCTCCCAGCATTCCTCAGTCTCAAAATGCTTCCCAACCTCATACAACAGCAAAGTATGTCCAAGAAAAGCCAGTCTGTGCATAGGCAATATACAACTACCGGGACAGGCAAGTGCCACGTAAATTACCCATAAATGACCAGAAGATCAGAGGCTCATTGTTGGTCTTTTTACATAGAAGCCTCCCCCCTGCACACACACACACACACACACACACACACACACACACACACAACTCATTAGGTCTCTCCCATTCTCCGGAATGTCTTTCTCTTAATAACGTGTCCCTGTTTCTATTATTAATCATGTGTCCCTGTTGCATTTTTTTGTTGTTGTTGTTGTCTCAGAACACAAGAACCTGGAAATTCCAGCAGTTGTCTCCAGGACTCAGGACCACAAATCGAAGCCTAGAACATGACCACAGTTGCAAGTGATAGCCAGTTCCTAGTGAGGCCCAGGCTTCATGTTCCGTTAATTTTAGTTTCTCTGCTGCAGAGCTTCTACAGAAGATCGCCATCTGCAGGCCCTAGAGTGACTGGTTTCTTCGACAAATTTTTATCAAGACCCTACAATCTCTTCCTGTGATATATGCTACTATCTCTTGAAGAGACTGGACACAGGGCAAGAAGAAAGGAAGCCCTGCCCATGCGGCATTCTCATGCCCTGTGTATGTGGCTAGTGGGAGGGAGAAGAAGAAATACAGTTACAATGGCAGATCCATCAGAGCCCATCGTCATTATGTTTGCTGGGTGAACTTGGAAACCTTGTCCGAAGCTGCCAGCCCTAAAAGTCTGACTCCAGGTACTTGGGAGTTACTGGGAAGCTATTCCCTTGAGGAAACTGTCAATAGAGAAAAATATCACTGAAAATGTATGGCATGTCTGAATCACAAGGCAAGAGGAAGCAGAGAGCAGTGGAGGGCAAAAATAGTCACTGCCCAGCACATAAAGCAATTCCTGAAGGGTGATCTGCAAGGGGAGAGCAGTTGGATGCCCATTCTGAACCACTGCCCAGGTCAGAACCAGCAAAGGTTGGAAGCAGGGCTTTCCTCTGGGTTTATGCAATACCAGCTGAGAGAGATGCTCTGTGTGTGAAAACGGGGTCTGTGATCAGATTTAACAGTGCTGCCTGGTTTATTCCTGTGTTGGGGATGCCCAAAGCCCAGGCAGAGAGGCCCTGCCAAGCATTCTTTGTGCTCAAAGGCTTGGGCCTCACTCATATGCAAATATAACCTGAGCACCTATGGACCAGCTCCGGATGTAGACACAATGAACAAAACAGCCTTCCTTCTCTCCGAGCTTGCAGCCCCTAGGCAGAGGGAATGACAGGCAAGAGGATGCAGTATTTTTGAGGAGAGGGATTGCTCTGAATTAGCGAGAAGTGGTCTACAGTGCAATCCAGACAAGAGAGGTCCTGGAGAGGAAATGGCAGGCCTCAAGGCCCAGAGGCAGCAGCGCGTGAGCCTGTGGAGAGGGACTGTCTCCAGGTCACCTGGACATGAGACAGGAGACAATGTAGGGGAGTGCAGGCAAAAGGCAAGTTGTACAGGACTTTAGATAGAGGATTTGCATCTGGTTCATGTGTAAGGAAGCAATGGGTGTAAATTTCTTCTGTGACCTAACACTCAGGTAGCTTTCCACAGCTGCAAACCCCACAGATGTTCTGTTGTGCACGAAAGTTGTGCAGGGTCTGTGATGTGGAGATGTGTACCGCTGACAGTGAGTTTAGACTCAGTGTGGGGAGAGCATAGTACACTGCTGTCCAGAGGAGGGAGAGGAGGTCTTTCTCACCTTCATGATTCTGAGGCATTTTTTCTGATTTTTGCTGCAGGAAAAAGGGGAGTCCAGGTAGGTGCTACTGTCCCTCCCAGCCAGTCCACTCCCGCCATGACTGCTTATTCCTATCCCAAACCTTGACTTGCTATTTAACCTCTGGAAAACCTCAGTGATGCCAATTCCTGGCATACTCAGAGGGAAGGGTTAGAAGAAAGCCTGGCCTAGCAAAAAGCACCTGCCGAATTATTCAGTGCCCACTGTGACCAAGCAGCTCTTACATACTCGCCCTACGCAAGTTCCCACTGGAAATTAAGGCTGCCTTTTTGAAGATGATGGAACTGGGGCCCAGAGAGTACAAGCAGTAGGCCCAAGCCACGCAGCAAAGTAAATCGGCAATCAACACTCAAAGATAGGTAATTTATAAAGAACCCTCTAAGCTTCGTGTTTGTTCCTATGGTTCTTTGCTCCCCTTGTTGGTCCTTCACGTTTGTGCAACAGCTAACAGCTTGCTTTAATTTCACACTGACACATCACTCTCTCCCGTGCTGCTGTCCTCTTGGCTTTAAATCTCAGCATCATTGTTCAACTGCCTCTTTGCCGAAGATCCCTCTAGGCAGACTGTAACTTGCACACTCCTGAACCACACTCACTCTCTGCCAACATTCTGCTCATAGCACTCTTTTTTTTTTTTTAAGATTTATTTATTTTATTTATGAGTACACTGTAGCTGTCTTCAGACACACCAGAAGAGGGCATCGAATCTCATTATGGGTGGTTGTGAGCCGCCATGTGGTTGCTGGGATTTGAACTCAGGACCTCTGGAAGAGCAGTCAGTGCTCTTAACTGCTGAGCCATCTCTCCAGCCCATGCTCATAGCACTCTTAAAAAAATGCTCTGAGGAGTTGAAGTACTGAGGCTCTGGGTCCAGTCTGCTTGGGTTTAAATACTGAAGCTGACACCTACACGCTCATGACCTTGGGTAAACAGCATCTCTGGATTGTCTTACCTGTGAATCTTATTAGGATCAAGTGACTTAGTGCTTGCTGCCTGATAAACACCACAAGCATACTTGTTAAAGAAAACGTAATTTTAAATGCATCCTTTCACAGTAGTGTGTGCCCTTGATCCTAGTACTTAGGAGGCAGAGACAGAAGGAGTGATACAAATTCCAGGTCAGTCTAGTCCACATAGGGAGTTACAGACTTGTGATTTTATATATGTATATGGCATTAAAATATGCCATGCCATTCATTGCAAGCACTCTGGAATTAGCCTCACAAAGAGATCCACAAGCTTGATCTCTTTAGAGATTGAGAGCCATCTGGTGGGTCAACTCTGGGTAGTGAGTTAAACACTATCTTGCACAGAACCAGGGTCAGGAGCCTTAGGTGAGGTTGCCCTGGCATGGTTTCTGAGCTTTATAAGAGGGCTGCAGATCCACAGCTATAAAGGGTTGTAAAAGTGGCCAGAAGGTGAGCAGGGCCTTTTCAATACACCTGTTTATCTCAAGCCACACATAAGATGCTATAAACCCAGGAACCAGTCACTGCATACTGTCAAGAGGGCTCCAGACCTCTGACGTAAACTTTACAAGTTTACCTTGTAATATGTGTGGTCGTGTCTGCTTGTGGTACTTTCCATACAAGGAGGATGCCTTTAGAGGCAGGAAGCAGAGGCCAGCCTGTCTTTTATATGTCTGTGTATATATGTTTACTTTTCTAGAAGGCGTCATTTATTTCCTGTGCCACACACACCTGAAATGGACATTCCCAAGGATAAGGTGACTGACCCACGGGGACAGGAAGGACCGTGGCCAAGCTCTATTCTCCATTCAGGAGTCACTTTGTGATTGTGTTCAATTTTGTGAGCAGAATACATAATCTGGGTGTGATATTATATTAGTGTATGATGCTGCCATAAAAAAAAAATCTTAAGAAGCAATGTCGATCACTGCTGTGTTTGTGGGAAAACAGTGGACACAACTCCAAAGTCCATAAAATGATTATATCATGCCTACATGACGAAAGTCTGTATAGCCCTTAACAAAGAACAAGATAAGATACAGCAACTGATACACTGATGAGTGAAAAATAACCCACCAAATAGCATCAGACACACACAAGTGTCCATAACGCTGAAATACTGCAGAGACATAGTTGGGTCACTAAGGTTGGGAAGAGAAGAGATTTTTAACTTCTACATTTCATAATTCTTTGCCTGTTTTCAACTCAATGTTTTTTATAACCTGGTATTGTTTTAATAATGAACCAAAAAAGATTCACAAAGATATAACTGACTTAGAAAACAAAAGCCAAAATAAATATACAAACTCTTACCCCTCATTGTTCCAGGGTGTAGCCAAGGATTTGCACAGTGAATCAGGATTGTACTGTTAGGACCCCCAAGGTGTCCTCTGACCCAGAAGTTCTAAGATTCTACCAGAAATGCCCAGATGGAGTGAAGTTCAGAGCAGCACTGAAACAAACATACCTGTAAAATTTTGGAGTAACTGATCACAATGACCAGTCCTGGCACCAGGAAGTTGAAAGTCACAAAAAACACATCCCAAGAGATTTCTCCTATGCGGTTGGGCCAATCCAATGTGCAAATCGGAATTTCCTGATTACAAAAGAGAAAACAACATCACTTAAATGCTGGCTTCTTCCTTAGCCTTTAGCCCAGCCTCAGTTTGTGGACTACAGGACACTGTTACACTGTGTGTTGTTACAAGCTGTTGTGACAGGAAGACCTAGAATCTACTTCTCCTTTGCCTATGGTGTTGCCTCTTACACCCAGGTGCCTAGGGTTACCATAATTATAATTCTCATTGCCCAGGAAGGAACCTCAGCATCAAAGGCAGGTAAGAGCTGGAGACATTTCCCATTGACTGGTCTTTCCATTTCCCTAGGCTGGGTGACAAGCAAAGAGTGTTTGAACCTTCTCAAAGGCTTTCAAAGGGAGAGACTTGACTTCAGAAAGGTCACAGAGACTGAAAATATCATAACAAACACAAGCATTTGGAGACAGGATTGTAGGGCCAGTGCAGTGACACTTTGCTGGAATAAAGTATTGCTTACTTGAGGGTGTTCAATTGCCTCCCTGTGTCAAAGTCAGGTACATACCTGTACTCCGGCACCTCTGCAGACTGAGGCAAGAAGATTGCAAGAACCAAGGAGTTTGAGACAAGCCCAGGCAACCTGATGAGACCCTGTCTCAGGGCATGAGTAGACAGACAGACAGACAGACAGACAGGCAGGCAGGCAGGCAGACAGACAGACAGACAGACAGACAGACAGACAAATGCACATAAAAGTGGGGCTGAAGAGATGGCTCAGTGGTTAAGAGAGTGCTCTTAACCACTTGCTGCTCTTGCAGAGGACCTGTGTTCAGTTTCCAGCACCCACATGGAAACTCACAATATCCACTAACTCTGTCTCCAGGGGATTCAATGTCATCTTCTGGTCTCCACATACACCATGGCATGCATGTGGCAAAGCATAGTCACACATGTAGGCAAAGCACTCATATGCACATAAAAACAAATCTTTAAAAAGCAGAAACATGAAACTCCAAACTAGTAACAACAAACACCACACACACACACACACGCACACGCACACGCACACACACACACACGCACATGCACACCACTCACACACAAGCATACTGTGTTAGTCTGCCTCAAAGAATAGGCCATCCCTCTTCAAGAAAGTATATGGTACCCAGACTTAGAAGCCTTAACCTTGTGTGCCTCGTCCCTGGGAATAGAACAACCCAGAGCAAAACGCTGGAATGGTAAAGGAGGCATGGAAGCTTCTGGTTGTACTGCTACCACTGTGCAATGTTGAACTCAAAAGTTTGATGCTAACCACAAAGCAGAGGTGCGAGGGGCCCACTGAACAGGAAGAACTCCATCTCTGCAAGCATTCCTTCCATTGAGTAAACGTATCAATGAAAATAGAGTGTGAATACAAAGGTATCTTCCCACACCTGAACTGCTTCTGCCTATTTGACAATAGGAACAAAACTATTCAGAACATAATGTACCCCCAACCCTCCTGTACGCCAGTACATGTATTTAAGAGTATGTGCAATGTAAAAAGGTCATATCACTGAGTTTTTGATAGACTATGCATCTGAGCCTTGCCATTCATTCATAAATTTGATCAATAATTATTGAAACTACATAGAGAAAAACAAATAATTTTTTAACATTTGCCAACGTGAATCATAACTGAGCAAACTCAAAATCTCAAAACGTTGTCTAATATTAGAAGACAGCAGCGTTTCACATTTATTGAACATTTACTGCACACTGAGAACTACTTCCTACCTTGTAACAGCAACCTACGGAGTCACCTACAGTGCCTACAGACTCACACTGAGTTCCCATTTCACAGCTAGAAACATTTTTCAAAAACGACAGTCTAAAACACTAAAGGCTAGTTGTATTCACTGGCAACATTTCGCACCCAAAAGTATTCAGTTAATTGGGGAGGGGCATTAAGAATGTTTGAACCTTGCCAGATGTGGGGTCACCTGCCTCTCAGCCTTTGCAGGGCTGAAGCATGACATCTGCCACTCCTGACTACAGAGTGAGACCCTGTCTCACTACCATGCACCCCAATCCCAGTATTTCCTGCTCCCCTCACACCTGCCTTCCACCCTTGCAACCTCCCTTCCATCCAACAGAGGAAAAAAAAAATCTCATCGTGGAAGCTGGAGTGTGTCATAGTGTGTCCCACAGTGCCCCCTTTTGCCCACATTTATTTGCTTGCAACAACAAAACAAAAATGTCTTAATTACACCTGTACATTGGAAAGGGAGGTGTGTAGGACCATGAAAGGACAGCATGGTTTCTGGTTGAGCACTGGCTAGAAATTGCCAAATACCCCAGGTGATCCTAAGGGATGGCATGCATTTCACCACACTCCCAGACTACAGGCTCCTGACACAGGCTCCTGACACGAGGCCCAAGACCTTCATAGAGTGGGGTCCTCCAGGCACGTAGGATAACATCCCCCACCAGCCTTTCCACAGGTAGAGGGTGTGACTACAGGCCACAGAACCTCAAGACAGATCTCCATATTAATGAGGTACCTAAAGGCCAGAGGACGTAGCCAATTAAACATTCCTTCCCAGACTCTCCTCTGGCAAAAGGTATTTAACCTCAGGCCTACCCTGAAAATATCAGGGTATAGCTTCAACCATTTTCTGCCATAACAATAAGGATCTTAAGACCATAGCCTATTTCTCTTCTTTGGGACACACTGTGGGGAACCATGGAGAAGGTTTTCAACTCCCGTAGACAACTTTTCTATGTTTCTAGCCACGGAGGCCCAGTAACCCAAGCAAGCAAGCAAACCCAGACATGACCCAGCCAAGAGAGTCACCACAACCCAAGACTCTCATCCCCAAAGGACACCGCCAGAGCTCATCCCTCCCCCTCTTCCCTTCAGCTTCGGGCCAGCAGCACGTACTCCCCCACTTCGGTAGGCCCTTCCGTGGCCTCCCAGCAGCACCTGAGAGCCCAAGGGTCTGAAAACCAACCAGTTCCTGGCCACCTTTTGGCCCCCCGAGACTCCCCAACCCAAAAGCTTTGTGGTTCCACAAAGGACCTCAGACTGTGTTCTCCACCCACAAACAGAGTCCTGTGGCTTCACATAGCCCAATGTCTGCTTGGTGCCAGCTTTGAGTGAACACAGTCAACTTCCCGCACCTCTGTCCCCATGAGAGGCCCTAGCCACGGGACCCACTCATTAACCAACATACACCGCAATCCCACAGAGGTGAGGACGTTACTTCTCTTTCCAGCTTTATTAAATGGGCTATAACTGGGCTGGACATTCTAAATGGGCTCCTCTGCGCCCACCATCCCCAGCTAAAGACAGAAGGCTTGCCCTGAACCTCACCTGGGCAACGTAGTAAAGTTGGTCCTGGATGTGGAGGTTTCAGACGAGCCAGCCCAAGGGCATGAGCACAGATAGCCAGCTCTGCCTCCTATCTGCTTGCAATGGCATAGACAAGGGAGAGAAGTCACTCTCTCCTCCCTCATCCCTCTCTTGCTGACCAGCTCAGATACCTCTCAGGCCAAGATCCAGGGATTTGAATTGGCCCACCCCAACATCTACCCCATCAATGAAGTGTAAAGTACTTGAAGCAACTTGTCCTACAGATCCAAAACCATAGGACTTCCATAACACAGGGCAACAACAGGCTATCTGAGAGGAGTCCCAGTGAGGTTCCAGTACTGACAGAGCAGCAGAAGCCAGAGGCCTTGTACATTTGCAAGCAAAAAAAAAAGTGGACAAAAGGACATAGTGTGGGACACACTATGACATACTACAGCTTCCACAACAAGATTTTTTTTCCTCTGTTGGGTGGAGGGAGGTTTCAAGGATGGAGGGCAGGTATGAGGGGAGGAAGAGATGAATGAGATTGGGGTGCATGAAGTGAAATCCACAAAGAACTGATAAAAAGCTTTTTTTTATGCCCCACATTTTGGTGAATGGAAAAAGACACTCGTGTCTCTGGGTGATATTGAGTACTGGTCACCACATTACTGTTGTTCCTGGAGCAATCCATGCACTCCTCCAGTTTGTACTCTGCCCACCACAGGGTCCTCACTTAGCATGCTGGAGAGCACAGGTATGAACAGGTATGCTGAAACCCCAGTCAGGGAAAAGGAGTCCTAGCCCTAGCTGGAATTTGGTCTCTAGTCCCATATTCGTGAAAGAAAGGGGTATCAAAGCATAAAAAAAAAACATGACCTCAAAGCTGTTATTTAAAGCTCCCATGACCCCTCTCCAAAAGCCTCCTTCTGTATGTGGGTCAATCTCTTCTGGCTTTATGAGATTTTGTAAGAAAATGAATATGATAAAGTAAGGTATTCTCCCTACATGAGGGGCAGAAAAAACAGGTCCTGAAGCTACACACCTACTCGGAGCTTACCGGAACCACATGCAACTGTGTGTGTCAGTCCTAATATAAATAAACAAATGAGTGAATAAATTAGACCGGGAGATTCTGAAGAAAGGGATCTTGGTCATAAGGATTCTACCAGAAACATGATTCCGACGGGCAGCCTTGGTTATCTACTTGATCTGGCTCAGGAGGGCTAAGGAGATTAGAAAGAGTAAGTAGCATCTCTGGTTGTACCTGGGAGAGGGTGTCCAGAGAGGATTAACTAGGGGAGAAAGACATCTTCCCATAGGCTGGGAGCCAGGATAGAGTAGGAGGGATAGAGTGCTCTCAGTAGAAGTGCTTGGGGATTCATTCATTCATTCTCTTTTCTTCATGGCCGCTGTGATGTGAGCCACTCTGCTCTCCTCGGCCCATCACCCATCACCATCACCCACTGCCCACCACCCACCACTCACCGCCCACCACACACACACACACACACCTTCCCACCCCTACCCCAACGCCCACCCCGACCTCCCCTCCATGGCTGACTGAAACCTTTAAAACTTTCAACCAGATGTAACCCTTCCTTCCCTAAGTTGTGACTTTTAGTCACAGTGATACAGAGGAGATAACACGACTTTACACAAAAGCCACCACAACCTTACACACTCACAAGTACTTTACACAGTCAGCCCAGCAGCTGTCTCTGGCCA